AATGGATTTGAATGAATGGGTGAATGAATGGGTAGATAGATGGTTGTATAAATAAGTTCATGAGTGATGGATGGATAGATGGTGGATGGATGGATAAATAGTGGATGAGTGGATGGATAAAGAGATAGATGCAGATGAATGGATGGATGCATGGATAGATGGATGGATAGATGAGTAGATGGATGGTGGATGGATGGTAGATGGATAGATGAACAAATACATGATGAATTAATGGATATGAATGGATGGGTGAATGAATGGGTAGATAGATGGTTGGATAAATGGGTGCATGAATGATGGATGGATAGATGGATGGATAGATGGATGAATGAATAAGTGGATGTAAGGATGTATGGATGGATGGATGGAGAGATGGGTAGATGAATGGTGAATGGGATGGTAGATGGATAAATGAACAAATGATGAATCAATGGATATGAATGAATGGGTGAATGAATGGGTAGATAGATAATTGTATAAATAGGTTCATAAGTGATGGATGGATAGATGTTGGGTGGATGGATGGATGGAGAAATGGTGGATGAGTGGATGGATGCATGGATGGATGGATGGATAGATGGATTGTGGATTGATGGTAGATGGATAGATGAACAAATAGATGATGAATTAATAGTTACAGTCCATCAGTCCATTGTGTGTGTCCCACATGGCTGTGGGCCTCATGGGTGAGTGCAGAGTGCAAGAGTCCCACAAGCCATGGATCAGGTGCAAGCAGAGAGAGAGAGCAAGAGGACCCTGTGTCCAGCAGTTAAGTATCTCAGATTTCATGCCCTTGCAGTGTCCATGCCTATTTGAGCCACTGACTGGCTCCAAGGTGTGACTGACAGCTAAGCATCCCTCACGTCACCCAGACCTCACTGGGCGTGTGTCTATTGTCCATTCCCTTCCCCCAGCAATCTGCTGAGAACAGACTTGGTGATTGTTAACCAGCTTCCTGTTAATCATAACCAGGATATTAATGCTATCAAATGTGTGGGCTTGCCCGGCCGGCGTGGCTCAGTGGTTGAGCATCAACCTAGGAACCAGGAGGTCAAGATTCAATTCCTGGTCAGGACACATGCCCGGGTTATGGGCTCGATCCCCAGCAGCGGGTGTGCAGGAGGCAGCCGGTCCATGATTCTCTCTCAACTTTGATGTTTCTCTCTCCCTCTCCCTTCCTCTCTGAAATCAATAAAAATATCTTCTTAAAAATAAACTGAAATAAATTCACCAGAGCTCAGTATCTAAATAACAAACTCTCATGCCCACCTCAGATTTCCGTCGTCTGCAAATTTACTCTGAAACAGGGGAAGCATATGACGCATTCCCCTCAGGGAATTGGCTGCTGATTTATAGGCCCTTTTGCAAGAAAGCCCTTATCTTGTTGACACAGGTCAGACCCTGTCAGTAAATGAACAGAAGGACTTGGGGAGGGAGCTTCGAAGCATGTCCCTTCTCACAGCAACTCAAGCCCTATCCATGGCAAAATCCCTCAGAGAATTATAAAATGACTAGAGGCCCAGTGCACGAAATTTGTGCACGGGGGCGGGTGAGAGTGTCCCTCAGCCAGGCCTGCACCCTCTCCAATCTGGGACTCCTGGGACATCCCTCTCATAATCCAGGTACTGAGATTAATGCAGGATTAATCTCATAATCCTGGCTCCTAACCACTCACCTGTCTGCTGGCCTGATTGCCCCCAACTGCCCTCCCCTGCCGACCTGATCGCCCTCAACTGCCCTCCCTGCCAGCCTGATCATCCCCAAATGCCCTCCCCTGCTGGTTTGATCGCCCCCAACTGCCCCCCTGCCAGCCTCCTCGCCCCCAACTGCCCTCCCTGCCAGCCTGATTGCCTGTAACTGCTCTCCCCTGCTGGCCTGATCGCCCCTAACTGCCCTCGCCTTCCAGCCTAATCGCCCCCAACTGCCCTCCCCTGAAAGCCTGAATGCCCCTAACCACCTCTGCCTCGGCCCCGGCCACCATGGCTTTGTCCAGAAGGGAGTCAGATGTCTGGAAGGTGTCCAGTCAACCTGGGTCTAATTAGCATATTACCCTTTTATTAGTATAGATATGCAACCCTAACTGGTCTGGCTCAGTGGATAGAGCTTCGGCCTGATGGGTTCTGGGTTGGATTCCAGTCAAGGGCACATGCCAGGGTTGTAGGCTCCATGCCCAGGTGGAGGCCTGCAGGAGGCAGCCGATCCATAATTCTCTCTCATCAGGGATGTTTCTCCCTCTCCCTTCAACTCTGAAATAAAAAACAAAACAAAACAAAACAAAACTCCCAATCAATGACCTGGACTGAGGCAAGCTCTTCCCCAGTTAGGAAGGAAAGATGAATGGGGGTGTAAGGACATGTCAGGCACCTGACAGTTGGCATTTAGGAGAAGAAAATAAAAAAATAAAAAAGGGTAGAAAAACACACAACATAATTCAAATGTCACCCTCATACTGCCCTCGAAGGAATCAAGCCCAAAAGGGTCAGGAGACAGTGTCTGCAGGGGGACACATGACAAATCTCGAGGCTGTGGGCTCTTGAAAAATATATACATAATTTTTATTGATTTTAGAGAGGAAGGGAGAGGGAGGGATAGAAATATCAGTGACGATGAGAGAGAATCATGGACCAGCTGCCTCCTGCACGCTCCCCACTGGGGATCGAGCCCGCAACCCGGGCATGTGCCCTTGACTGGAATCAAACCCGGGGACCCTTCAGTCCGCAGGCCGACGCTCTATCCACTGAGCCAAAGCAGCTCGGGCGCTAGGTCGTCTTTAAATGACTACCCACCTGGTATGTTAAACCAAAAAATAATAAAGTATTTTAACACAATGTGCATGCCATCTGAATGCAGCCATTGCTAATATTTTTTTAAATTATTTTATTGACTCAGAGAGGAAGGGAAATCGAGAGGGAGAGAAACATCCATGATGACAGAGAATCATGGATAGGCCGCCTCCCAGACCGAGCTACTGGCGATCGAGCCCGAAGCCCGGGGATGTGCCCTTGACCGGGAATCGAACCATGACCGCCTGTTTGATAGGTCGATGCTCAACCACTGAGCCACGCAGGCCAGGCCGGAAGTGCAATATTTTGAATATGAGAAACACACCTTAGAAACACATCCCTCATGCTCCCCAGTCCTCAGCCTTAAAGGTGTCAATTTGCATTTGCAGACACTTTCCTGCAAGAGGAGAATTTAATCAGCAGTCAGTGATCTCTTTAATGCAACCATGAATGCCCTGAAATTGATTTCTGGGGATCCCCCCAGCTCCCTCTCCAGCCTCCTCTCTCTGGTGCGATGGTAGATTAATTTTATGATCGCTGGGCTTTGTTTGGGGCTGTTTAGTGCTAAACACAATTAAAAACCCAAATGCATCCAGAGCTAGATACTAAAGCCATACACAGAGCCGGCTCGAGCCTTCAGGAGACGAGCCCTGACATCCCACGTAATTCCTGAAAGGAAACACATGATCAGCATAAAACACCCGTAATCCCCCAAACATTCGTTCTTTTTTTGGAGAGGGTAGTATCGGTTGACGAACCTCAGGAGATCAAACAATGAGAATGCTGGTCATTGAAATGAAAACTATTTCCAGTGATGTCTTCGAGCCTTGCCTACCGGGGCTGGGCTAATATTTTCAAGCTTCACTTTTTTTTCCTTCTCTTTCTCTAATATATTTTTAATAGAGGACCAGTGCACGAATTCGGCCTGTCCTGCTGGGATCGGCCTAAAATGGCTCTCTGACAGCACTGAAGGGGTCCCAGATTAAGAGAGGGCACAGGCCAGGCCAAGGCACCCCACCGGTGCCCCATTAGGTCTGGGGAGGGACACGGGAGGTTGGCCAGCTGGGGAGGGACGATGGGAGGGCTCCAGGGTGTTTCCAGCATGTCTCACTCAGTCCCAATCAGCCAGACCCCAGCAGCAAGATGACCTACCAGTCTGAATGTCTTGTCCCTGGTGGTCAATGCATGTCATAGCGAGCAGTTGAGCAACCTTAGTATATCATTTGCATATTATGCTTTGATTGGTTGAACAGATGACTGGTCGACTGGAAACTTAGCATATTAGACTTTTACTATACAGGATTGATTTCATTCAGGAAGGGAGCGAGAAACATCAATGATGAGAGAGAATCATACATCGGGTGCCTCCTGCACGCCCACTACTGGGGATCGAGCCCACAACCAGAGCATGTGCCCTTGACCAGAATTGAACCTGGGGCCTTCCAGAGTCCACAGTCTAACCCTCTATTCACTGAGCCAAACCAGCTAGGGCTCATTGGTTAACTCTTGTCTGTGCCCTGACCAGGAATTGGACCTTGACCTCTATATCAATAGGTCGTTCCTCAACCAACGAGAAACACCAGGTTGGCTCAAAAGGGTTTTATTCATTTGAGAATGAGGAAGGGAGACAGAGAGAAACAGAGAGACAGAGGTAATGGAGGAGGAGGAGGTGGAGAGGAAGAAGAAGAAGAAGAAGAAGAAGAAGAAAAAGAAGAAGAAGAAGAAGAAGAAGAAGAAGAAGAAGAAGAAGAAGAAGAAGAAGAAGAAGAAGGAGAAGAAGATGGAGAAGAATGAGGAGGACGAGAAAAAGAAGAAGTAAAAGAAGAAGAAGGAGAAAGAGAGCTCGTGCGCAGGAGAGAGAGAGAGAGAGAGAGAGAGAGAGAGAGAGAGAGAGAAATCAATGTGCCCTCGCACCCAGGTGGTGGCAGATAGAATAACAGAGCTTAGTAAAAAGGTGAACAGAACTATACATGTCCCATTGGCAGGCCAGCTGGACTTGAGCTTAAGTTGACAAGAGCCAGGGACCCCATCATGTGTCCTCGGCTTCTTCCATCAGCTCTAGGATCATTTCCTCCACTCCATCCACCTTGACGTGGTGCACGATGCGCCAGAACCGGCATATGTGGTCCTCGTACTGGCCTTCAGTGTTCAACGTCCACATCAAAGGCATGATGCTAGAGGTGAGCAGGCTTTTGGTGATTGCAGTATGCCCAATGGGGATGTCTTCCTGGCGCAACAGTACTTGCAGGACACCTCCTGTCTCCATAAACAGATGAAGCCATGTACGCTGGTTCTCGTCCTCATACACCCAGGGCCCATGGATCCTCAGGCAAATGGGGTGCGAGTTGAGGTGCACCTTTGATGGGAGCTCAGCCATGACCCCTCCGTGGTCCAAAGAGCAACAGCCACAGCTTCTCAGAGCCTCTCAGTACTTCGATCCTGGTATCGAAAGAGAGGGGATTGGGTCTCCAAATGCATTTTACATCGGCTTTTATCTTTATGGTTTCTACGGTTGTGTTTGTGGTTGCCTTTGTTTTATTTTGCAAATTTATAAATCTCAACTTTTCTTTCTTTTTAGCTTTAGATCTTTCTTCTAGAACAAACTGTACAAAACATACTTGAAGTAAAATATGTCTCTGTGAAGGTAACATGGTCCTATAGAATTTTTAAAACATTTTTAAAATGACAGTTGACATAGAACATTAGGTTCATTTCAGGGGTACAACCCAATGAATAGATATGATATAATGGACTAAGAAATCATGCAATTAATCTCATACCCATCTGAAACCATACACAGTTATTGTAATATTACTAGAGGCTCAGTGCACAAAAATCATGCACTTGGGGGGCATTCCTCAGTCAGCCCTGCGGCCTCTCGCAGTCCCAGACCACATGAGGATGTCCAACTGATGGCTTAGGCCTGCTTTAGTGCTGCTGTGGAGGCTCCCACCAACCCCTGTGCTTGGCAGCTGTGAGCTTGGCTTTGGGCTGAGCGGTGCTACCCCTGTGGGAGTGCACTGACCACCAGTGGAGAGCTCTTCACATGAGCATCTGTCCCCGGTGTTCAGTGTGTGTCATAGCAACCAGGTGTTCTGCCATTGGGTCGATTTGCATATTAGCCTTTTATTATATAGAATTGCATTGACTCTATGCTGTACCTTACTGTGTAAGGACTATTCTTTCATTTTTTTTCATATAGTTTTACTGATTTCAGAGAGGAAGGGAGAGGGAGCAAAAGAGAAAAGAAGATCAATGATGACAGATATTCACAGATTGGATGCCTCCTGCACACCTCCTACTGGGGATCAAGACTGTAACCCGGGCATGTGCCCTGACAGGGAATCAAACTGTGATCTCCTGGTTTCTCGGTTGAAGCTAAACAACTAAACCACGCTGGCCAGGCTCTTACTTTTCTTTTCTTTTTTTCTTTTCTTAATTAAAATTTTTTGTTGGATCATCTTTTCTTTTTGTCCTGACACCACCATCTTCTTTCTGATCATCTCAGAGGGAACTCACAAACCATAGAACAAACCACCCCATGCAAGTAATATGCAAATAATATGCTTTATCTTTAACAGCAGGCAGAAAAACAAAGCTAATGTAAGCGTCCAGGGGGGCTTCTTAACAGAGGTCTTGCTTCTCAGGTGCCCGTGAGAGAGGCAGGACCAAAATATTCAGGGACAGACAGATACCTGAGATAGCTGATTGGGAAAGCAGGAAGCTAAGAGACAGGTGAAAGAGCACGTAGGATTCCTGAGGTCTCATAACATCACTTATAGAATGATATCTTGCTTCCCCAAACCTCAGCCATGATCTTGGCAAGAGCTGTTTGTTTTCCTGCTAAACTCACTTAAGTCCACAATGCCCAAATTCCTCCCTCAGATCAGACTCCATCCCCAATCCTTTCTCCTCCTCCTCCCATCCACCTTTTTCTTACCTGTTCTTCTTTCTCTGAAGGCAAAACACTCTTCTTTGCTCCTTTCTTCTGTGACCGGTCTCTCCTTCCCCCTATCAGCTGCAGAAGAAAGAACATGAACATGATATACATATTCCCAGGAGTCCATGTACCAGGAATGTGTCCAGAAAAAACAAGGTACCACTGACTCACACCCCAGAAACCTATCCTGTGAGACAGGTGGTCGTCAGGAAGGAAAGAGGTTTATTCAGCTGCTGGCAACCTGAGAAAATGGGGCAAGCTTGTCCCAAAACCCATCTGCACATCTCAGTGCAGGCAGAGGCTTTTATAAGGAGGGAGAAGCCAAACAGAGAAAAGAGGTCAGGGGGCGGGGCTTGAGTAGTTCTCTAGGTGGTGTCAGGCACATTCCAATCTGATAAGGATCTTGCAAGTGGTCAGGTGACGGTCCAGTGTGCGTCATCCTAGCCTTTGTCCTCCTGGTTCTAAGGTTTAGGGTCATCAAATCTCCCAGAACTGTGAATGTCATAGCTCATATCGTCTAAAATGAGTTCCTAGGATTCTTCTAGAAACATGCTGTTTACCTACAAGCTTCATTATTAGTCAGAGTCTGCATTTACAGGAACAATGTGGAAAGAATGGTGAGGTGAGTTGTAACACCCGTGAATTACACGAATTCATGTAATTACTGTGACATGAATGCTGAGATGCTTCATTCTTCTTCAAGGCGTTTTGACCCTTTGAAAAAGTCAAATAGGCCCTAGCCGGTTTGGCTCAGTGGATAGAGTGTCGGCCTTTGAACTGAAGGGTCCCGGGTTCGATTTCTGGTTAAGGGCACATGCCCAGGTTGTGGACTTGTTCCCCAGTGAAGGAGTTGCAGGAGGCGGCTGATCCATGTTTGTTTCATCTTGGATGTTTCTAACTCTCTCCCTCTCCATTCCTCTCTGAAATCAATGACAATATATTTAAAAAAAAACAAAACGATGCTTTATACACTCAGCCGAACCATCTCGGGATCTAGGTCCACTTTAAATGACTACCCACCTGGTATGTGAAAGCAAAAGAAAAATAAACTATTTTAAAACAGTTTGCATTTAATTTGAATGCAATACTTGCTTAATATTTTTTAAATGATTTTATTGACTCAGAGAGGAAGGAAAAGCGAGAGCAAGAGAAACATCCATGAGAGAAAAGCACGGAGAAACATCGATCAGCTGCCTCCTGCACATCCCCCACTGGGGATGTGCCCGCAACCCAAGTAAATGACTACCCACTGGTATGTGAAAGCAAAAGAAAAATAGTCCGCAGGCCGCCACTCCATCCACTGAGCCAAACCGGTTTTGGCATGCTTCATATTTTTTAAATGATTTTATTGACTCAGAGAGGAAGGAAAAGCGAGAGCAAGAGAAACATCCATGAGAGAAAAGCACGGATAAGCTGCCTCCCACATGCCCCCTACTTGGTATTGAGCCCCCAACCGGGGCCTGTGCCCTTGACCGGGATTTGAACTGTGACCTTCTGGTTGATAGGTCGACACTCAGCCAATGAACCACGCCGGCTGAGACTGAAGTGAAATATTTTGAATGTGAGAAACACACTTTAGAAACACATCCCTCACGCTCCCCTGTCCTCAGGCTTAAAAGTCTCAATGTGCATTTGCAAATACTTTCTTGCAAGAGGATAATTTACTTTTTAAATAATATATTTTATTGATTTTTTACAGAGAGGAAGGGAGAGGGAGAGAGAGTTTGAAACATCGATGAGAGAGAAACATCGATCAGCTGCCTCCTGTACACTCTCTACTGGGGATGCGCCCACAGCCAAGGTACATGCCCTTGACTGGAATCAAACCTGGGACCATTCAGTCTGCAGGCCAATGCTCTATCCACTGAGCCAAACTGGTGAGGGCCTGGATAAGAGAATTTAATCAGCAGTCACTGATCTCTTTCATGCCACCATGGATGTCCTGAAATTGACTTCTGGGGCTCCTTCCAGCTCCCTCTCCAGCCACCTCTCTCTGGTGCAATGCTAGGTGCATTTTATGTTCACTGGGCTTTGTTTGGGGCTGTTTAGTGCTAAACACAATTAAATACCCAAATGCATCAAGAGCTAGATGCCAAAGTCACACACAGACCTGATTCGAGACATCAGGAGACGAGCCCTGACATCCCTCATAATTCCTCAAAGGAAAGAGATGATCGGAATAAAAAACCCCTAATTCCCAAAACATCCGTGTTTTTTTTTTTTCGAGAGGGTAGTATCGGTTGATGAACCTCAGGAGATCAAACAATGAGAACACTGTCATTGGCCGAAGCCGGTTTGGCTCAGTGGATAGAGCGTCGGCCTGCGGACTGAAAGGTCCCAGGTTCGATTCCGGTCAAGGGCATGTACTTGGGTTGCGGGCACATCCCCAGTGGGAGATGTGCAGGAGGCAGCTGATTGATGTTTCTCTCTCATCAATGTTTCTAACTCTCTATCTCTCTCCCTTCCTCTCTGTAAAAAATCAATAAAATATATTTTAAAAAAAAAGAAAAAAAAAAGAACACTGTCATTGAAATGAAAACTGTTTCCAGTGATGTCTTCAAGACTTTTCTACTAGGACTGGGTTAATATTTTCAAGCTTAAGGTCTTTTTCTTTTTCTTTCTCTCTTTAATATATTTTTACAAGAGGCCCGGAGCACGAATTCATGCACCAGTGTGGTGCCACAGCCTGGCCTGTGGGGATCGGCTGAAACTGTATCTCTGACATCTCCCAAGGTGTCCCAGATTACAAGAGGGCACAAGCCAGGCCAAGGCACCCCACCGGTGCCCCATTACGTCTGGGGAGGAACACAAGATGTTGTCCAGCTTGGGAGGGACCACGGGAGGGCTCCAGGGTGTGTCCAGCATGTCTCACTCAGTCCCTATCAGCCAGACCCCAGCAGCAAGCTGACCTACCAGTCTGAATGTCTTGTCCCTTGTGGTCAATGCATGTCATAGTGAGCAGTTGAGCAACCTTAGTATATCATTTGCATATTATGCTTTGATTGGTTGAACAGATGACCAGTCGACTGGACACTTAGCATATTAGGCTTTTATTATATAGGAGTGATTTTACGCAGGAAGGGAGTAAGAAACATCAATGATGAGAGGGAATCTTACATCGGGTGCCTCTGCTTGCCCACTACTGGGGATCGAGCCCACAACCAGAGCATGTGCCCTTGAGCAGAACAAACCTGGGACCTTCAAGTGTCCACAGTCCAACCCTCTATCCACTGAGCCAAACAAGCTAGGGCTCATTGGTAAATTCTTGTCTGTGCCTAGACCAGGAATCAACCTTGACCTCTGGGTTCATAGGTCGTCCCTCAACCACTGAGAAACACCAGCTTGGCTCAAAATGCTTTTTTTTTTTAAATATATTTTATTGATTTTTTACAGAGAGGAAGGGAGAGAGATAGATAGTTAGAAACATCGATAGGAGAGAAACATTGATCAGCTGCCTCCTGCACATCTCCCACTGGGGATGTGCCCGCAACCCAGGTACATGCCCTTGACCGGAATCGAACCTGGGACCCTTCAGTCCGCAGGCCGATGAGGAAGAGAGACAGAGAGAGAGAGAGAGAAAGGAGAAGAAGAAGAAGAAGAAGAAGAAGAAGAAGAAGAAGAAGAAGAAGAAAAAGGAGAAGAAGAAGAAGAAGAAGAAGAAGAAGAAGAAGAAGAAGAAGAAAAAGAACAAGAAGAAGAAGAAGAAGAAGAAGAAGAAGAAGAAGAAGAAGAACAAGAAGAATAAGAACAAGAAGAAAGAGGGAGAGAGAGAGAGAGAGAGAGAGAGAGAGAGATCAATGTGTCCTCGCACCCAGAGGATGGCAGATAGAACAACAGAGTTTACTAAAAAGGTGAACAGAACTCTAGACTTCCCACCGGCAGGCCAGTAGGACTGGGGCTCAGGTTGACAAGAGCCAGAAACCCCATCAGATGTCCTATGAATCATCCATCAGCTCAAGGATCATTTCCTCCATGTCATCCTCCATGACGTGGTGCATGATGCGCCAGAACCGGCCCATGGAGTCCAGGTACTGGCTGCTAATGTGGAGCGTCCACATCAAAGGCATGGTATTCGAGATCAGCGGGCTGGTGGTGAGTTCGATATCCACACTGGGGAGGTTCATCTGGCACAACCGTACTTGCAGGTCACCTCCTGTGTCCATGACGAAATGCAGCCACGGGCGCTCGTTCTCATCCTCATACATCAAGGGCCCATGCATACTCAGGTAGATGGGGTGTGAGGTGAGGTGCACCTTCGATGGGAGCTCGGCCATGACCCCTCCGTGGTTAACGGAGCAACAGCCACAGCTTCTCAGAGCCTCTCGTTTCTTCGGTCCTGGCATCAAAAGACAGGGGATGGGTCTCCAAACGTATTTTACCTCGGCGTTTATCTTTTTGGTTTTTACCGTTTTGTTTGTGGTTGCCTTCGGTTTATTTTGCAAATTTATAATTCTCAACTTTTCATTCTTTTCAGTTTTAGATCTCTCTTCTTGAAAGAACTGTACAAAAAGTACTTAAGGTAAAATATGACTCTATGAATGTCACATGGTCCTATGTAATTTTAAAAACGTTTTTTAAATGAATGTTAACATAGAACCTTAGGTTCATTTCAGGGGTACAGCCCAATGATTACACATTATATAGTGGACTAAGAAATCATGTAATTAATCTCATACCCATCTGAAACCATACACAGTTGTAAAAATATTACCAGAGGCACAGTGCACAAAATTTATGCACTCAGGGGGGGTCCCTCAGGCAACCCTGCAGCCTCTCACGGTCCAAGACCCCTTGAGGGATGTCCAACTGATTGCTTAGGCCTGCTTTAGTGCTGTCATGGAGACTCTCACCACCTCCAGTGCTCGGGAGCTGTGAGCCTGGCTTTTGACAAAGCGGTGTTCCCCCTGTGGGAGTGCACAGACCACCAGTGGACAGCTCCTGCCATGAGCATCTGCCCCCGGAGGTCAGTGCGTGTCATAGCAACCAGTCGTTCTGCTGTTTTGTCGATTTGCATAATAGCCTTTTATTATATAGAATTGACTCAATGCTCTACTTTACTCTGCCATGGCTATTCTTTCGTTTTTTTCATATACTTTTCCTGATTTCAGAATGGATGGGAGAGGGAGAGAAAGAGAGATCAATATGACAGAGATTCACGTATTGGTTGCCTCCTGCATGCCTCCTATTGGGGATAATGACTGTAACACAGGCATGTGCCATGACTGGGAAGTGAATTGACATCTCCTGGTACCTACGTTTAAGCTAAACAACTGAGCTATGCCAGCCGGACTCTTTTCATTTCATTTCTTTTCTTTTTTTTAAAGTTTTTTTCTTAATTAAAACTTTGTAGTTGGTTCAAATTTTCTTTTTGTCCTGACAATACCACCTTCTTTCTGCACATCAGAAAGGGAACTAACAAACCATAGAACAACCCACCCCATACAAATAATATGCAAATAAAATGCTTTACCTATAACAGCTGCCAGAGGAACAAAGCTAATGTCTGCGTCCAGGTGGGCTTCTCAACAGCGGACTTGCTTCTCCATTGCTGGTGAGAGAGGCAACACCAAAATATTCAGGGACAGACAGAAACCTGGGATAGCTGAATGGGAAAACAGGAAGCAAAGTGACAGGGGAAAGAGCACGTAGGATTCCTGAGGCCTCATAACATCACTTATAGAATGATCTCTCACTTCCCCAAACCTCAGCCATGCTCTTGGCAAGAGGTGTATGTTTTTTGCTGCTAAACTCACTTCAGTGCACCAAGTCCAAATTCCTCACTCAGATCAGACTCCATCCCCAATCCTTCCTCCTCCTCCTCCCATCCATCTTTTTCTTACCTGTTCTTCTTGCTCTGAAGGCAAAGCACAGTTCTTCGCTCCTTTCCTTGTGACCGGTCTCTTCTTCCCCCTGTCACCTGCAGAAGAAAGGACCTAACCATGATACACATCTTCCCAGGAGTCCATGTACCAGGAATGTGTCCAGAAAAACGAGATTCCCCTGACTCAAACCCCAGAAACCAGTCCCGTGAGACAGGTGGTGGTGAGGAAAGAAAGAGGTTTATTCAGGTGCCAGCAACCTGAGAAGTTGGGGGAAGCTCATCCCAAAACCTATCTGCACATCGCAGTGCAGGAAGAGGCTTTTATAAGGAGGGAGAGGCCAAACAGAGCAAAGAGGTCAGGGGGCGTGGCTTGAGAAGTTCTCTAGTTGCCGACAGGCACAGTCCAATCTGATAAGGATCTTGCAAGTGGTCAGGTGACAGTCCAGTGTGCGTCATCCTAGAATTTGTCCTCCTGGTTCTAAGGTTGAAGGTCATCAAATCTCCCAGAACTGGGAAGGTCAGAGTTCATATCTAGTAAATTTAGCTCCTAGGATTCTTATACAAACAGGCTGTTTACCTACAGGCTTCATTATTAGTCAGAGTCCGAATTTACAGGAACAATGTGGAAAGAATGGTGAAGTGAGTTGTAATTCCCATGAATTACATGAATTCATGTAATTACTGTGACATGAATGCTGAGATGCTTCATTCTTCTTCAAGGCATTTCCTCCCTTTGAAAAAGTCAAATACGCCGTAGCCGGATTGGCTCAGTCGACAGAGTGTCAGCCATAGAATTGAAGGGTCTCAGGTTTGATTCCCGGTCAAGGGCACATGCCCAGGTTGTGGGCTTGATCCCCAGTGAGAGACATGCAGGAGGTGGCTGATCCATGACCCTATCATCATGGATGTTTCTAACTCTCTCCATCTCCCTTCCTCTCTGAGATCAATTAAAATACATATGAAAAAAAAAGGCCGACGCTCTATCCACTGAGCCAAACAAGCTCGGTTGCAAAGTCGTCTTTAAATGACTACCCACCTGGTATGTGAAACCAAAAAAATAATAATAAACTATTTTAAAACAATGTGCATGTCATCTGAATGCAACACTTGCTTAATATATTTTTAAATGTTTTCATTGACTCTGAGAAGGAGGAAAAGGTAGAGGGAGAGAAATATCCATGATGAGAGACAATCACTGATCAGCCGCCTCCCACACGCCCCCTAATGAGGATTGAGACCGAAACCTGTCATGTGACCTGACCAGGAATCGAACCTAGACATCCTGGTTGATAGGTCGACACTCAGCCAATGAACCACGCCTGCTGGCCCTGAAGTGCATTATTTTGAATATGAGAAACACACCTTAGAAACACATCCCTCCCGCTCCCCAGTCGTCAGCCTTACAGGTCTCAATTTGGATTTTCAAACACTTTCCTGTCAGAAGAGAATTTAATTAGCATTCAGGGATCTCTTTAATGCAACCATGGGTGCACTGAAATTGATTTCTGGGGCTCCCTCCAGCTCCATCTCCAGCCGCCTCTCTCTGGTGTGATGCTACATGAATTTTATGATCGCTGGGATTTATTTGGGGCTGTTTAGTGGGAAACACAACTAAAAACACAAATGCATCCAGAGCTTGATGCTGAAGCCATACACAGAGCTGGGTCGCGACTTCAGGAGATGAGCCCTCACATCCCTCGTAATTACTCAAAGGAAAGAGATGATCAGCATGAAACACCCATAATCCCCCAAACATTCGTTCTTTTTTGGAGAGGGTAGTATAGGTTGACGTACCTCAGGAGGTCAAACCATGAGAACGCTGGTCATTGAAATGAAAACTATTTCCAGTGATGTCTTCGAGCCTTTTCTACTGGGGCAGGGATCATATTTTCAGGCTTAAGGTCTTTTTCTTTTTCTTTCTCTGTTTACTATATTTTTACTAGAGGCCCGGTGCACGAATTCGTGCACCAGTGTGATGCCTTGGCCTGGCCTGCGGAGATCAGCCGAATCTGGCTCTTTGACTATCCCAATGGGTCCCAGAGTACCAGAGGCCACAGGCCAGGCCAAAGCACCCCACCAATGCAGCATTATATCTGGGGAGGGAGAAGGGAGGTTGGCCAGCTGGGGAGGGACCATGGGAGGGCTCCAGGGCATGTCCAGCCCTTCTCACTCAGTCCTGATCAGCCAGACGCCAGCAGCAAGCTGACCTACCAGTCTGAATGTCTTGTCCCTGGTGGTCAATGCATGTCATAGAGAGCAGTTGAGCAATCTTAGTATATCATTTGCATATTATGCTTAGAGGGGTTGAATAGATGACTGGTCTACTGGACACTTAGCATATTAAGCTTTTATTATATAGGATTGATTTTATACAGGAAGGGAGCGATAAACATCAACGATGAGAGAGAATCATACATCGGGTGACTACTGCACGCCCCCTACTGGGGATCGAGCCCACAACCAGAGCACGTGCCCTTGACCAGAATCAAACCTGGGACCTTCCAGAGGCCACAGTCCAATCCTCTATCCACTGAGCCAAACAAGTTAGGGCTCATTGGTTAATTCTTGTCTGTGCCCTAACCAGGAATCGAACCGTGATCTCCAGGTACATAGGTTATCCCTCAACCACTGAGAAAAACTAGATTGGCTCAGAATGCTTTTATTGATTTGAGAGACAGTGAGAGAGACAGAAAGAGAGAGAGATAAAAAGAGACAGAGAGAGAGAAAGGAGAAGGAGAAGGAGAAGAAGAAGAAGAAGAAGAAGAAGAAGAAGAAGAAGAAGAAGAGCAAGAAGAAGAAGAACAAGAACAAGTACAACAAGAAGAATAGGAACAAGAAGAAAGAGGAAGAGAGAGAGAGAGAGATCGCACTCAGGGGGTGGCTGATAGAACAACAGAGCTTACTACAAAGGTGAAAAGAACTATACATGTCCCACTGGCAGGAGAGTAGGACTGGAGATCAGGTTGTTAAGAGCCAGGGACCCCATCACATGTCCTACGACTTGTCCATCAGCTCAAGGATCATTTCTTCCATGTCTTCCTCCTTGACGTGGTGCACGATGCGCCAAAACTGGCCCATGGAGTCCAGGTACTGGCTGCCAAGGTGGAGCGTCCAAATCGAAGGCATGGTGTTCGATGTGAGCGGGCTGGTGGCGAGTGCGATATGCCTCCTGGGGATGTTCACCTGCCACAACCGTACTTTCAGGTCACCTGCTGTGCCCATGACGAAATGATGCCATGTGCGCTGGTTTTCGTCTTCATACATCAAGGGCCCACAGATCCTCAGACAGATGGGGTGCGAGGTGAGGTGTAGCTTCAAGGGGAGCTCGGCCATGACCACTCTGTGGTCCACGGAGAAACAGCCACAGCTTCTCAGAGCCTCTTGCTTCTTTGGTCCTGGCATCAAAAGACAGGGGATGGGGTCTCCAAAGCTATTTTACCTCGGCTTTTATCT